CAACAGGATCGGGGCACTTCGCCCCCCTCAGCACCTTTGACAATCGCTGCCCATCCCGCTAAGCCAGCCGGTCTATCTGGAGCCGTGCAAGTGCGCGCTGAGCATTTCCTTCGCTTTGACCAGAGCCACTTCGGCTGGCACCTCCAAGAGCGGCACCACCCCCACGCCCTCCCAGGAGGGGCGGTCAGCAGAGCTGACCGATCGGGAGGTAGGGAGGGTGACGTAGAGGCTGGTGCCGTCCACACGATAGGTCTGAGGGGGGTGGCACCCGCCGCTGGTCACTTCTCCAATGACGAAAGCTCTGCCCAGCCTCTTCATGATATACACAAACTCCTCGGCCGCCCCAGCAGTCACAGCACTGGTGAGGATGACGAGACCCTTCTGGGAGCCGTACCGTTCACCTGCGAGAGGAAAGAGCAAGGATCCTCTTTCAGAGAAGAACTGGCACAATGCACTGCGGCGACTGAAGGGTTAACCCTCTCCAGCCCCGTCGGGTACTAAAGATTTTTGAAGTGCTCTCTTACTCCCCCCACCTGCTTCAACTTGCTTTTTGCCCTTAGATGACACCTGGGAAGCCGGCCGGTCAGTTTCACTTGTGTTACTGAGTCAGTTTCCCTGTCTGGCTCTCCGGCAGTAACGCGCTTCAGTCGCAAACAGGGCACGGGCCTTGTTTCACATTCCCAGCGCTTTCCAAGGAATTCGAACACAATTCCAAGCGACAAGACTTTTCTATTGCACAGAGGTTGGGCCAAACTCTTTTCTAGCCCATCTCTAGCTGGGATCCCAACTCACCTGGTTGGATCCCTTGTGTAACCGTGAGGGAGCAGCAGTTTTTCTCCCGGTGTCAGATTGTGAAACTAGCTCAGCGCACGGGGTGCCGGCTGGGGGCTAAGTGTTTGAAAATCTGGCCCTCGGCATCGCAAGGGGAGCAGAGCCCTTGGACAATCTGTTCCTAAGCGTCTTTAAAAAGCTGGTCTTTTTAAAGCGTTCAAAGCTCCTTTAAGCAGCTGTCTGCTCTAGGCGCCCAGGGTGTTATCGTTAATGACTAGGGGAGATCCCGGCTGTGGCTCAAATTCCTACAAGGTGTCAAACGCAGAGAACATGCAAATTGGAGAGGAACCGTCGCCAAGGCCAGTGATGATGGAACCTGGTGAGGATCTGGGCTTGCGGGTGTCTCTTGGGCATCTTGGAAACAGCGCGTGCCACGCAGAAATGAACAGCTCCCAGAAGACATCCCCACCGGTCACAGCGGGGACGTCGGGCCAGCGCCCGCTCCCACTCCCAGTGGAGTCAGCCGGATTCTGCCGTTCTCTTTCATGGGCGTGGGAATGAACCAGGCCCCGGTGGTGCACCCCAGCTCGGGGTGCTTGGGAAAACAGGCGGGTTTGCTGCACGCTCCTAAGGTAACTGATTCATGCTGCTCCAGGTGTAATTATGGCTGGGGTGAAAAGAACTTAAATGTTTTACCAGTACACAGGGCTGGTAGGCCCCTAGGCAAGGGGGGGCCTTGGGTGGAAGGGCCCCAGCCAATGTGCCCTCTAATCTTTTTCATCCATGTGCACATTTTTCCACTTGTGAGTGCAGAATAAATGTTGTTATATGCACCGAGGCATGTGTGGATGTGCACCACCAGGAGAAACACATAACCTAGCTGTGGGCACTCTGCTAATCAGCTGGATGACATTGAACACTCACCCGAGTGACTGCGCAAGCATGTACCTTACAGGGAAAACTGCCCCCAGCCAGCCCATCAGAGCTGCCTGGCCCACGCCGCCCAGTGCTCTGACGGTGATTTAAAGGGCCCACGGCTTAACTTTGGCTGTATACTGGCTCATACCAGTTTCTTACCGATATGCCGTACCAGCCCATACTGGCCTATACCAGTTTCTTACCGATATGCCGTAAATACTGGCCTATACCCGTTTCTTACAGATATGCCGTACCGGCTCATACCAGTTTCTTACCGATATGCCGTACCGGCCCATACTGGCCTATACCAGTTTCTTACGGATATGCCGTACCGGCCCGTACTGGCCTATACCAGTTTCTTACCGATATGCCGTACCAGCCCATACTGGCCTATACCAGTTTCTTACCGATATGCCGTACCGGCCTGTACTGTCTAACTTTCACCCCCGGGCTGCACTTTGTACCAGTACTGTCTGTGATCCCCCCTTGCCATTAAGATTGGTACTGAAGGTTGTTTGGAGCTCATTGTGCACTCTGATAATCACTAGGAAGCGGACACGGCCTAGGGCTGTTCTCCCCACCAGCGTGGCCAGCAGTGGTCGGGGAGCCGGCACAGGGCTCCCGCCGACCCCCGGAAGGGGAAGCTCCCGCACAAGGGACCTGCTGTCTCACCCGAGAGCTGCGGCTGGGTCCACATCTCACGCGTGGTGTCATCGGGCCGGTGGTAGACTTTGTCCAGCAGAACCGGGTGCCCTTCGTCAAAGAAGTAGGAGCACAGGGCCTCCAGGGAGGAGGTGGGGCCGCCGATATTGTACCTTTGTGAGACACCAGACACAACGCTCATCCCCAGCAGGTACAAACGTGGCGGAAACCGCGCGGCAAACTGGACACTGGCCCTGCTCATCTTCCTCCGACGAGCGTCTGCCCCAGCCGGCCCTTTCAGCTCTCCCCAGCTGGGCCTGGGCTGGTGGCTTAGCTAGTGACCCAGCTGCGACAGGGTCAAGGCCAAGTCCAAGGAGACAGAGACTCATACCTGTGGATCCAGGACAGAGGAGGCAGGGCCATGGGAGGGGCATGGGGAGGAGCAACTGAAGAGGGCTGTAGGGATGGAGCTAGTACCTGTGGGGGGCGCTGGAATAGGCAGCAACCCCAGTTCCAGAGGAGGCCCATGGGGCCGACAAGACCCAGGGAAAAGGCCAAGCAGGCTGGGATCCAGAGGAGAGGCTGTGTGCGGTGACCGGGAAGCAGCAAGAGAGGGTAGGAGGTAGCCAAGGAAGGAGAGCTTCTGTACAGTTTCTAGCCCACTGGGACAGCGAGTGTTTTGATAAGACAATAACAATACAGCGGCACTAACGATCTTTGCAGTGGTGGTCAATGTGCCCTCTAATTGTTCCCATCTATGTGTGGAATGAATTTTGTTCTGTGCGCCAAGGCATGTGCAGATGTGCACCACCCGTGGAAACACACGCTGCCAGCTGTGAGCACTCTGCTCATCTCTGGGCAGCATTTGAATCTCTCCCAGGTGGCCGCCTATGCACTCCGCTTCCAGGGAATCCCAGCGGTGGTGTAGCTGCATCAGAAGGTGGAGGAGACAATGTCTTTTGTTGGATCCAGCCCTGGTGTGGAGGCTTACGAGAGACTCTGCTCTCTCTCCCAGCGAGGCTGGTCTACCAGAAGATACTCGCCCACCCGCCTTCTCTCTCTAACCATGCCCACAGCTGAGCTGCTGTGCAAAATCCAGCCTCGAAGGGTAGGAGAGTCCAGTGGTTAGAGCACTAGCCTATGACGTTCAAGCAGGGCCGTCCTTAGGCATATGCAGCATACCCAACTGCGAAGGGCACCGCTAAAGGGCACCCGTGGATGTCCGGGGCCATCGCCGGCCAATCCCCTACCCCCCGCCACCTGCTCTACTTCCCAGCCCTGTCGGACCCAGTCCCCCAGCCCCTCTCCCCGTGCCCTGCCTCCCAGCCCCAATACCCAGCCCCCCACCTCCTGCCCTGCCTCCCATCAGCCCCTCACCCCCTGCCCTGCCTCCTGGCCCCGTTGAACCCAATCCTCCAACCCCCACCCCCTGCTTCATTTCCCAGCCCCATCAGCCCAGCTCCCCAACTCCCCACTCCCTGCCCCACCTCCCAGCCCCGTTGCACCCAATCCCCCGGCCTCCAGTCTCCCTGCCCCAATCCTCCTGCCCCTCCCAGACCCCTGAGCAGTGCCCCCTGCAGGGGAGGGAGGGTGCAGGTGCTTGGGCTGCGTGGGGCACCAGAAGTCTGAAGAACAGTCCAGCTTCCAAGACTTGGGTGCGTATCCCTGCTTAGCCACAGACTTCCTGTGTGATGGGAGGCAAGTCACTTAGTCCCCAGCCAATGGGAGTTAGGCGCCTAAATACCTTTGAGGAGCTGGGTCTTAGACTGTCCGTGCCTTAGTGCTACATCTGCACGCTGGCAGTAATGGCCCTGCCGTGCCGTGCCGTGCCGTGCCGTGCCGTGCTGTGCCACACAGGGGTGTTGTGGGCACAAATCCACTTAAGATGGCGAGGGGCTTAGGGAACACTCCAGGGGGCACCCCAGTACCAGGCACCCAGCAATCAGGAGCTGGCCCCTGCAAAGACACACGCTATGGGCTGAAAAATCGCCATGACGTGCCCTTGTTGCAAATGAAACTATACTTACGCAGACGACGTGGCGAATTTCCGGCCAGCCCTTACCTCATGTCTATGATTAACGCGTCCGTGTGAACAATTTTCTTCCAGACGTGCTCCAGCAGCAGCTCAGACACCTGCAGGAGAAGATCGCAGTCTCCAAACATGTCGAACCGCAGGTAGCCAATGTTGTTTTCGAAGACGTCGGTGCGGAAAGAAAATTTAATCAGATCTTCAAATACTTCTGGGGAAGGGATCTGAAAGAGTTTGCAAACCAAACCAAACAAACAAAGCCTAAACCATTATCTGGCACTGCATGCTTGGCCTGCGACTGGAAAGGAATCATGTGTTTCAGGTTTAGCCCATGCTGGGCATATGTTAAGAGTCTTGGGTTAGGAATATCATGTGGCGGGCATGTGTCAGGAATGCAAGAGTCTCATGTGTTGACCATATGTCCGGAATGTCTTGTGGGGCCCATGTGCGAAGATCTGTAGACATGAGACGTGTCAAGAATGTCATACGGTGCCCATGTGCTAAGATTCTTTTATGTGGGACATGTCAGGAA